CTAAATTTAATGTATTTTAACTATAACATAATTAATAAATAAATAGAAGTAGTGTACTAGTGAACAAAGCAGCCAATAATAGAACAAGCATTCGCATCTATCCAAGGATGACAACTTGGTGCCAATTTCAAAATAACCATTGTTGGATTATAATGTAAAATGAGCTCTTTATTGCAACTATAAACATGTAGATGTAATTTCTAAAGCTCAACATTAAACTATAGAAGGTGGATGTGGCATGTGTCAGGGGTTAACAAAATTGATTTCTTGTTTCAACTGCATTAAGCAAAAGTACTTTGAGCCATACATATCAAAAGGCCAAGTAAGCTACATTCTCATCCAGACTTACATGTACATAACTATTGCCTTATGCTTCAAGCTATACTTCGCCAAATGTTGACATTGTTTATAGCTCGTGCATCATGTGACACAAACCTGCAAGATTTCATTATTGCTTTCAATGTTTCTTTTGAAATAAAGGAATAAAAACTAAGATAATATAAAAACTTTGACCTATAATGTACTTTGTAATAATAATTTCATTAAAATGCATTGATAGTAAAGTGGTTTAATTAAATTTTGATTGTAACTCAGTGACACACCCAGAAAGGATTTCAAAAATGGCATCATTGTCATAGGGTTAACATGCGGTTTTTAATTCACTAGTTTCATATAACTGTGCATTTTCTTTTACATAATTTCTTGTCAATGCACGATGCTTTACAAACTTTCAAATCTTCCAGTTCAAGTTAAGTTTTAAGTATACTTTGAGTTTGATAAAACAACATACCTCAGTAAACAAAATGGTAAGGTTGGACTCCCCTGTTGTTCTGTTGATCTGAAAGTCTTCATAATACCTAGGTTTAAATACAAACAAACACTTAGCAATATTACACAAAACATAATAATAAATGATTTCTTGTTCAAACAAAGTACAGAGGGTTAATTGCACTTTATATGAATGGTTTATATATGCTAATGCAGAAAAAGGTATAATTTTCATAGGGTATTTGGGGGACATGTTCCCCTGCACTTTATCAAGGATAGAATACATATTTTTGATAGAGAACACCCTCATGCATATCCTACCTACAGACACTCTCCTCCCTGCTTTTGAAACCAGAGTTACACCACTAAATGCAATGGTATGTTGCTGCTAATGTTAGTCGTGACGTTGTGGGCTATATGTTTGACAACTATGTACTTAATCCACAGGAACTTCCTTGTCATGCAATATTGTCACAGGCAGACTTCTGGCAGGAAGAATATAAAAAGCCTTTTTATAAAGGAAGATAAATAAATAAATAACACAGTAAGTTGACAAAGGAAAGCTTCAATGTTCTTCATGGAAGCAAAAAAGCCTGTATATTACAGTGCTTAGAACAGCAGTGGTCTCCAAAACTACACCCTAACCCAATGCAAAGTAAAGGCTATGGTTCTGAAAACGTATATTTTTAACCCTAATGATATTAGGTGAACCTGCTGGTCCAATAAACAAGGATTTGAAGTTTAAAAAGCTCAGAAGCAAAAAAGTTTACAAGTCTAACAACTGCACATTGAAATTAAATCTTGTGAGGCAGTTCTAATGTACTATTAGAGCAACTGGTCTTCGTAACTCTATGAAATCTAATTGTACTGATTTGGTGCACCTGTTGGATGGTTTGCATTGTGAAAAAACTAATGAAGGAAATAGCTTTAAACTTCAGAATTACTTTCTACAGACTATGTAGGTCCTGCAAATAAAACATGTTATTTTGTATATGCTATTTGTATGAATTTGCAAGCTATGAAATTTTTAAAATAATTTAATTGTAATATGTTCTTATAAGAAACAATTATAAATGCTTACCTTTGTTCTAGGTTTAAATAACTTATTTTATGCCTTCCTATGTTCTTTGAAAATTTACCAATAGTTTTAATTTTATAAAACTGTAAAAACTTTATGATTTGAAAAATCAACACATACAGTTTAATTGTAATTTACCATCACTGATGTACAATAAAAATAACTTTTTTTAAATTGTTAATCAGAATGTTGCAAGATAATACATGGTGATAAAAGAAAAATCCTATAATTATAATTGAAATTAACAATGTAATACATAATAAAAGAAACACCAAATAACATTTTAAATAAAAGATGAAAATTGTTTAACATGGAAAGAAAATGTATAATATCCTTTAAGAGAGAGATACAATATGCAAATACAGATTTAACTACATACAAAATCTTTAAAAAAGAATATTACATATTAAAAAAAAAACACTAACAATGATTCCCTGCCTCCCCCCTTTAGAAGGGGATAACCTAACAGACTATACAAAAATTTAAAATAAACAATGACATAATGAAAATACAATGCAGAAAAATCAAACTTTTACACAAATCAAAACATCAGTCAATATACAAAACTGCTGGCTTTATAATAAGTATGTTAACAAAACCCATTTTTCAGTAAATGGTAAAATCAAAGAATCTTAAAACAAAACCCTAACACAAGTAAAAAAGCAAACCATAATCAGAACAACTATACACATACATCTACATACACACACAGAAATTACCAAAAATGAAGAAAATTTACAATGATTATACAACTTAAATGGATCACACCTGCTACTTCAGCTTTTCTTGAAGATAAAGCTTCCAAGATGGCATCTGCCTTAGTCCTTTTGATATCAGTGGATCTTGGTTTTTCATGTCTTGTGGGGTCGCAGAGACACTGGCTTTAAGCTGGTCTTCTCTGACTGACATCTTACCACCATGATCTTGAGTAATGCTGATATTCCATCATGCAGCAGAAAATGCTTTGGAAATACTCAGCACAGTTAGTGAACCATGGCTCTGCAGTTTATAGTGATGGTACAGCACATCTTCCTGCACTTGTAACTGAACATAGTGCCACAGGTTATGTGCATCCAAGTCATACTCTATTAGTGAAAGTTGGCTTTCACCTTGCTGCATAGCATAGAGTGCTCATACTAAGTTCGGATCCTTCAGTGTTAATCTTGACATTCATCCAGTAATGGATTCTCCTACTTCATGGTTTACCTTTGTAAGAGCAGAAATGGCTATTCATATACTGGAATATAATTCTCTGGTTCTCAGCCAGACTATAAATTGTGACCAAATACCAAAACATCCTTGACATAGATCAGACATATCACTTTCCCATTGCATGCCCTCCAGGTAAGCTCCAGTAGGCTCTCCAAAGTGGCAGTTCTATTACACAGATCAAATGGCATGATGCAGAATTCATCTCTTCATCTCTTGTGCAAAAATCATTAACCAGTATTAGGCCTACTTTTGTCATCAAGCTCTATTTTCCAGCAACCGGAACACTAGGTACAAGGTGTTAAGCCAACAAGAACCTTCTAACACATTCAGGCATTCATCTGTTTATGGTAAAGGAAAGGTGACATCAACATGAATTACCACATTCACTTTTTTAAGATCAATAAAGAGCCTTGGTGTACTTTCCTCTTTCCTAACAATCACTATTGGAGCACTCTCTGGAGGATTTATGACTCTGTCTTTCAACATTTCAACATTCAGACCTGGCAACCTCCCTAGTGTTCCAGAGAAGTCAGCACTGTAACTACTTTATAAGACATGCATTGCCTGTATCTAAGTTGTGCTGAATCATTGCTGTTCAATCAAATTGGCCATATGATTTCATGGATACATCAGTATATTCAACCAACAAGTCACTAAGTTACTTTTTTTTGCATTGGTTCTAGAATGATAACATCATCTTGAACCAGTGACCTCAGATGCGACTATAGTGAGGTACTTACAATGGACATAACCCTAGTGTTACCACTAGCATTGATTACTTCCATTTCACTCACCTTATCTATAACCATTCCAGTACACAGATTACTTATAATTACAAAACATCACTGGAACTTCATATCTTGTTGGATTGATGACTATCTGAGCTAATGCTGACTGCTTTCTGGGCAGAAAAAAGAGTATATTTCATGTGCGGCTTTTATAACTGCATTATAGGATACTGACACACTATATTTTGTCTGGAGTAAACCATAAAATACCACTTGTGTACAAGTAATAAAATATTTTACAAAAATGAAGTATGATGTAGGGATGGCAATGCCAAAAAGTACAGAAACAAAATCCTTACATAAGTATCCAGTAAGTACTGAGTCAATATTACAGGTTTAAGGTTATTAGCCACTGTAAGACTGTATAGCTGTATTCAGTTTAAATACTTTTATTCAAACCTGAATTCATGCAACTGACAGGAATTCAACATTTAGTTATAGATAAAAGTTATTCTTGGAAGGATTTGGTTGCTTATTAACTTTATATATCCTTTAATCTTTGGAAACCAAACATAGTGAGAGCATTACAGAGATAAATAAACTAAGTTAACTGTATCCAAAGCTCAAACTAATATGTCTTATAAAGGATTTTGTTACTCCAGTTATAGCTAACTACTACTACTAAGTATTTGTTTATCCAAGAATATGCACTTTCATTTGCTTGCTTTCACATTGAAATATTTATAAAAGGGGAAAAAATAAATTAATTAAATAACACCAAGCTTAATAGAGTCATCTAAGTATCCCTGCTTCAACTATTTTTAAATACTATAATGACAAAAAAACACTTAAACTTGTGTTGTCTCTAATTATAATTTTACATGGTTCATCTTCCATCAGTATAAAAAAAAAAGGAAAAATGCAATTACTCAAAACCAAATGTAAATAATATAAATATTACATATGTTCAACAATTATTTTTAACAGCAACTTCAAAACTGATGTCCTGGCAGAACTGTTCAGTTCACTTGACACATGGCTGCTTTATGTGAGAAATGAAAGTAACCTTAGGGTCAAAGATAAGCCCCAAGAACTTTGCCTCAGGGACCACGGAAAGAACAACATCACCAAGACGGAGATCGCGATCAGGGTGTACACCCCATTGGTGGCAAAAATGCATGAACACGGTTTTGGCAAAAGAAAAAGTAAAACCATTTGCTATGGTCCACTTGAACAAGCGATTGAGGGCAGTCTGTTCGATGACCTACATGAGATGTGGAAGTTATCGACATAGAGTCAGTTTACAACAGTAGGAGAAAGTTGTGTAGTGATAGCATTGATCTTGATACTGAAAAGTGTGACACTCAAGACTCAGCCCTGAGGGACTCCAAGTTCTTGTGTGAAAGAACAGGAAAGTATTGAACCCACATGGATTTGGAATGAAAATGGGTAGCTGGCCATATGAGTGGAGGTCCCGCAAAATGCCGTACCTCCACATAGTGTTGTAAGCTTTCTCAAGATCAAAGAAAACAGAAACAAGATGTTCTCTCTTGAGAAAGGCTTCCCTAATCGAGGTTTCAAGTTGAATCAGGTGGTCTACAGTGTAGCTCTGTTGATGGAACCCACACTGGGTGGGTGAGAGCAGGTTTTTTTGAATTGAGGAACCAAACAAGATGAGCATTAACCATCCTCTCTAAGACCTTACAAAGACAACTAGTCAAAGCAATTGGATGATAATTAGAAGAAATCTTGGGATCTTTCCCAGGTTTAGAGAAAGGGAGGACAATAGCCTGGTACCAAGCATCAGGAAAAATGTTCTCCTGCCAGATCCAGTTAAAAACAAGAGTAGCAAGAGAGGCAGGAGAGAGATGGCGAAGCATCTCATAGTGAACATCATCAGGCTGGACCGATGTACTGCCAGATCAATGTAAAGCAAGTTTGAGTTCCACCAGTGTAAGGGGGCGATTATAGTCATAAAGATGATCAGCCCGAAAGGAAAGAGGCAATCGCTCTGCTCAAGACTTGATGGCCAAAAAAGGTGGGGGAAGTAACAGAAGAGTATCAGCAATGT